TGTCGGAGACTTAAAATATACGATATCTTTAAAAATATGTCATACTAAAACGTAAGAACACGTTTAAGATATACTGGACAATAGAAATATTTCAGAACAGTTGCCTGACTTTTGCTTTACTAGATTTTTATCTCGATCGGATTTATGTTTTCTAGTGAAACTAACATCTGACAGATCTTCAGAAATTGATAAAATTTTGAGGAAAGAGTAATTTTGCCTGACTCGAGTATAGAATATAAAATAACCGCATTCAAATTTGTGACACAATTAATTTTCTACGAGAATTATGTATCAAAACGTGCAGTATTTTTAAGAAAAGAATTTTCAACTTTCATGATATTTTGTTAATTGGTCAAGTTTCTTAAACTTATATTACTCGAAATGTGTGTTTGTCAAATTTCAAAATTGATAGAAACTGTTAAATTATATATGATGTTATTCACTATAGTTATAATTATTTTATTTCTTGCAAGGAAAATTAAGATTGACGCGTGATATTGTAGACTTAATTTGGATCACAAGGTTTCAGAGATTTAATCCAGAAGTCAAACATTGCTTGCAAAATTTTTGAGGTTCTCCGAACGACCTTACAGAGAATCGAAATTTTGTGTCCTTCGAATCAAGACCGCCGTAAACTGATTTCACAAAGAATTTAACTGTTGCAATCCTTAAAACACTGTTCCCATTCTGTAAAGGATTTTACATTGAACGACTTGTAATTTTTTTGCTGGTAACTCAACTAAGAATCGACTGTTTACAATTTAAAACCTTAGAAATCTTAGACCCTTAAGAAATCTTAAACCCTTCGACTAAATCGCACCAAACTGTTCTGCAAAATTACTACAAATCTTGACCATCCAATGATATTAGAATGTTTCTCAAAGAGTCTTTTTAATCGCTCTAAATTTTATATGATCAGCAAAAATATAACAGTATGTTCGCTGAAAGAATTGATTTGCTTGACCATTAAATCGCATTATAAAATTCATTGGCGTATATTTTTACGTAGTTTAACAAAATACTTGTTGCAAAGTTTAGCGAAAAAATTACTTCACGAAATTATGCATAATTTTGCTTGACCAAGTGTTAACTAAAGACAATTTTCGAATAATTCGAAAGTAATGAATAAATTGAAGTCATGTGAAATATTCATCAAAGGATTATTATACCGATCCTAAATTTTTACCTGACCTTCAATCAAACAATCCTGAAATGTTCGCTAAAAAATTTGTTCAACAACGTTTAATTTTTGCTCGACTGAATCACAGTTCATTAAAAGATTCTATTATCTACTTAATCAAAGTTTACTTGACCATTGACTATAACGCATTAAAATAATCACTAGTCTGTCGAGTAACTCAGAATTTCGTTCGATCATCAAATGACATTGAAACGTCTACAAAAATTATTTCCTTTCGGATTCTTTTAATATCGTGCCTGACCATTGAATAAATGACACCGACTCCTTTGCTAAAGAGTTTTAAGTTTGCTGAAGTGTTTTACTGAATTACTAAAAATCAGACTATTAAATCTCGAAACACCAAAGAATTTTTGTTTGATTTTTCCGAAATTTTGCTTGACCATACATTTATCGATACATAATTCTAAATTAAATTTGCTCATAATTTCGAACATTAATCAACTAACAATAAAATATTCGTCGAAGTATTGCTTTTCAGAGTCACTCAAAATTTTGCCTGACTATCGAATGAATGGCACTTGAACATTCACTAAAGAATTATTATATTAAATTTCCCAAACTGCGCTAAAATATACACCAAAAAATAGTTCTACCGTGTTACTCCAAATTTTATCCGACTGTCGAACAAGTTATACTAAAATATTCAACACAGAATGTTCAAAGTTTTGCAAAACCGTCGATCAACTAACAGCAGAAAATTCAAGGAAAGATTGCTTTTCCGAATTATATGCAATTTTCTCACACTGTCAAACATGCTCCAAAAAATTTGTGGATTTTAACCATTAATTAAATAGTGAAGTATTGAGAGAAATATCTAAATTTTGTCTGACCATCGAACATTCACTAAAGAATCATCGAGTAACTGATATTTTTTCGATCATTGATTAAACATTCACTACAAAATTATTTTATCCGACAAATTTCCAGTGGATCATCGATCATTTGAATATTAACCAACAAATTTTACTAAGGAGTCCCAAATTTTGCCTGGCCAATCACATTGAAATGTTTATCAAAGAATGTATCGAATATCGACTTATTCAAACTTTCGCTCGACTATCGAAATCAAATTTATCAAAGAATTTCTCTACGGTCGTATAAAATTTGCCTGACTATTCAAATCTCATTTCCCAGAGAATACTGTCGTTCAAATTTTCACGCGATTATCGGTCAAATCGCACTTTAACATTCATCAAAGAGTTGCCACCTAAAATTCTGCTTGACCAAATCACAAATATCAAAGATTGTTGGATCGAGTTATTCGAATTTCCGTCTGAGTTAAACATTGACTAAAGGATTTTTTTATGGGATTATCTACAATTTTACTTGGCCATTAACAAAGTCACTACAAAACTTGAATTTTCGTCTGATCATTGATCCAATTGCAGCTGAATATGATTCAAAGAATATTTCTACTAAATTATCTACAATTTTAGTTGACCACTGACAAAGTCACTATAAAACGTTCGAAACTTGAATCTCCGTCTGATCATTGATCCAATCGCAGCTGAATATGATTCAAAGAATATTTCTACTAAATTATCTACAATTTTAGTTGACCACTGACAAAGTCACTACAAAACGAATTTTCGTCTGATCATTGATCTCAGTCGAATTAACCAAAGAACCTCTACGGAATAACTTAAAGTTTTGACCGCTGATCAAAAGACACCAAAAGGACTACCTGATCATCGATCGGCCGAACATTAACCAAAGAATTTCTCCTTGGAGTAACCCGAAGTAATTCAAACCCTATGGAGTACAAAGACCTAATCAAGTGACGTTGAAAGATTCACCAAAAATCGAACTATCTGATCAGTAGATGGACATTAACCAAATTTCTCGACGTAGTAACTTAGAGTCTACCTAATCAAATCACGCTGAAAAATTCACCAAAAATCGAACTATCTGGTGATGGATCAGTCAGATGTTAATTTGAAGAATTTCTCCACGGAGTAACCTAGAGCCTACCTAATCAAATCACGTTGAAAGATTCACCAAAAATCGAACTATCTGATGATGGATCAGTCGAACGTTAACCAAGGAATTTCTGGATGGAATAACTTAGAGTCTACCTAATCAAATCACATTGATTCACCAAAAATCGATGATGGATCAAAAGCTGTTAACCGAAGAATTTGTGGACGGAGTAACCTTCTACCGCTCAACTGACACCATAAACACTGAAGTTCGATCTGGCAAGCGACGACACACTTCACGTAGGAAAATCAAAACGGTTGCTCGACCGTTCAACGACGGCACACACGGATTAGTATCCTGGCATTCGGCGTTTTCACTTTCCACCGAAACGTGTCAGCAGGTTATACACGCTTCATCGATCCTCTCGCTAAGCGAGCATTCTGCAGCGTCTATCGCGATTACGGTCCGAGTGAATTAAGTCGGTAAAGGGGACGTGACGACAAGCTTTGCTAATAATTGTCTCCGCGTTTCGCAAATTCGACGCTGAAAATTTTCGCGAGGATCCGGGCCGGAAATTCGCCCCGATGGATCTTCCGTTTCCCGGCGCTACGGGCCACGTTCCGGTGTCATTAACCCGCGCCCTAATCAATAGACATAATTATGAAACTATGCGGCATTTAATAGTCCCCGACCCGGTCAAGTTATAATCCCGTGCCGGTTCGCACGTTATGACCCGGAAACCTTCCTTCAAAATTTCCTAAACTGATCAAATTGTAGTTCAATCAAATACACTGGTTAATCGTAAACAACTTCGAAAGACCGCTCGTAAGCAAAACCTTTTACGTCTCGTGTGAAATATACGGAGTCAGGAAATAGAAGACGTGCAGAGCTGTCAACTTTGGACTCGCGATACGCGGGTAAACAAATAACTGCATTTCTTCATAACACCCGAACGAGTTTGCAAATATTAGATAAGCTTAAGCGTTTGAAAATTTTCGTTGTCATAGAGCGATAAACACATGTTCGATTGAAACGTTTATGGGAAAACGTGGAACACGTGTTACGTGTGAAGATCTTAGTGTCACTCATAGAAATGTCCCTAAGTAGCACTATTTCACGTAGGACGAAAACTTTCACAAATCTACACACCAAGAATATGCTAGAATATCGAAAAACTAGAGCACAGATTATGCTAACTTCGACAATCATTTCCGATTGTTTCACTTCGTGGAAATCGATCGCCTACTCCGTAAGTTGTGCACAATTGGATCACAGAGGAGGACGATCACGAAAACTTGGTTAAAAATTTCACAAGTTAAGGACACGATGATTTAAAGGCTAGACTAGGTTTTCACAGTAAGATCAGGTTGTCAACCACTGTATATGGGCCACATTGCGGCAAGTCGGTCAAGCCGACCCTTAAATCGGCGAACTATCCACGGAACAGCAAGTGTCGGGGAAACTTCGCCACCCTCGCACCCTCGTTGAAACTCGGGGTCGGCCAAGTGGCCGAGAGAACCTGACCAGCAATTACCAACCGAAAGACTCACGGAACGTGGTTCGATCTGTAACGTGGAACGCGATAAATCACCACCATTTTGTGACCACCCGATTAATCAATTTTTCACAACACGATCCGATCATCACTGGTTGAATTTTTCGGATTTGACGGGTTCGAGGATAATCCCGTCAGCCGGTCACTTCACCGTCACTTTTGGTTTTCGAGTCACAATCACATCTATGGTTCTCCACGCTCCAGCAGATCCGGAAGCTACAAGTGTCCGCGGTCTTTCCCACGCGTTGTATGACGAGGGTGCAGAGTGACGAATCTCCCGACACTGTTTTTTTTTTCTAAAATCACACCGGTGTTATCACTTACCTGTTGCCAGAACTGGGCTAGCAGGTATATACGCTCCTTCTTGAACAGCCAGTCCATGGACTGCATGGCCTGAATGTCCAGCGAGTTGGCCTCCGCAGAGGCCTGCATGCTGGCCAGTGCCGGCGTGTTCAGGCTGGCTAGAACGGGCTGCTGGAGCACGGACGCGTTGCTGCTGGCTAGCAGATTCGCGTGGTACACGGACGGTGCATCCTCCGAACCGCCAGTAGCCAGTAATTGGGCCCCGATTGGCGCTGAAGGCCCCTGGAGGCCCAGTGACGAAGCCACTTTGACGGCTTCGAGCTTCTCCGCCGGGCCCAAAACCGTTCCCCTTCGTTTGCCGGCGCCGTCGACGCCACCCGGGGCACACGCCTCGGCC